GAAATCGGCCAGACACAGAACAAGGAGTTAAGGAGGCCTTAAAGGTATCTTCCTTCATTAAGGGGTATTGGGCTCTCTGGGTTCACACCCGACCAAGGTCCGCGCGATGCGGCCAGGCTGCTGGGCTCCGGATCCTGGCCCGCGGGCCTGGAGGGTTTGGGGCAGAGCTGTACTGGTAGAGGCCAAAAGAGGGGCCTAGGTAAGTAGAAGAGGGCCTTGAAAAGGGTTCCTTAAAGGGTTCGATAAGGGCTACTTTAAGGGTTTAGGGTTTTAGGGCCTAAATCATTGCAAATACTATTTTGGGGGTTCCTTATTATAAGTATCGTATAATGGGCCCCCAAACCCTGTTAGAATTATTAAGGCCCCTATATTAGTTAGGGCTCGGCTTGATCTACGGAGATCGCGAGAGTTCTTTTTGAGGTCTGTTGTGACTCAACAAGGATTCGGATGAAGAGGGAAGCATTACTTGCGAGATGCAAAGCAAAGTAGCCCCCTGCCACTCGTTGGCCTTCTTGACCGTTCTCATGTGCTGATTGCCATGATGGTGCCAAAAAAATCGTTGTTCGTCTTCTTAGCTGTTGGTGGTGGTGCTGCTGGAAATGACTGTGCTTACTACGCTTGCTCTGTTCTTGGTATTTCTCCGTTTTGGTGGGTGTTAAAGTTGGGCTGCATCTTCATGACCTGTGGAAGGGCTCGCTTGGGAGAGCTCTCCTTTTTCTGCGTGGGTGCCAGGTTGAGGAGGGCTGGTGCGACAGAGTATGTTTGCTGACCGGGTGCAGATGGACATGATGACGACGCGAATTTTTGGAGGCCTCAGCTTCTAGTCAAATCTATATTTCGGCCAACCTCAGTGGAAGCCTCCCAACTCCGGATCTTACTTTGGAGCCCTTCTTTTTGGTCTGAGTCGATTCCTCTTTCCCATTCCAAGGACCACGATCATGTCGTGTGGGTCGGCGACACGAACTCCAGGTGGGCCAGAGTTGGGACAAAAACCGATGCAGATGTCAGCAATGCCTAGGAGTCGGGTCCAGAACTCTGCCGCTTCTTGTTGTGTCTTGCTCGCTCCCTCGGTTCAATCTTGACGGGTTGGGACTAGGGCCCAGGTTACGGCTCCATCTTTCTTGGTGGACTGCGTCTTCGTCGGAAGGGACTTGCCTTCCATTGCAATCCCCAGCCTCGCGCAAAACTTAATTCCACGCGGTAGGATCGGAGGCTTGAACGCTGCGGAGGCAATCGCACCTCAGATCTCATGCCACAAAGGGTCAGCTCTTATCTGCCATCCAAAACCGGCCTTGTTCGACACGCCTCAGCCTAAGCCTTAAGACAGCGAAACTCCTGCATCCCAACGCCCTAGCATGGTGGGGGCCCAAACCATTAATCCACAGCCATCAGCTTTAGGGCCTGCCAGGGCTGCACCCGAGAGCTGCCAAGATTCTTGTAAGTGCCAGGCTTCATTGGCCTGGCAAGCTGGGCGGCATGCCGCTTCTGCAGGCCCTGCTTTCGAAGTTCTGTTGGTTTCGGAGGCTTTCTGGTCCAGAAGCCCAACCAACCACGATCTAGGATTTTGCAGGCTTGTTAGAGCTGGACCAATGGCGTCGGACTGAAGTACAAGTTGATTCTTCGGTTCAGTTGCGAGGGCCCTAAACCCTAAACCCTAAACCCTAAGCCCTAAACCCTAAACCCTAAACCCTAAGCCCTAAGCCCCAAAACCCGAAACCCTAAACCCTTCAACCCATTCAACCCCTCAACCCCTCAACCCTATAAGCCCTAAACCCTAAACCCTAAACCCTAAGCCCTATACTTGGCATATGCCCAGGCCCGACAGAACATCCTGGACAAGCGCTATGGAGAGCTCCTGGCGCTGGATCAGCTGCCCAGCTGCAGTTTCATGGGCTCTCCCAAGGTCTTTAATACGGTTGATGGACAAAATCCTGCATGACCTTATATACCTAAACTATGGGATTTATGGTACTATACTATATTTGGATCATGCAGGGTTTTGTCCATCAGCAGTATAGAAGCCTAAATAATTACCCATATTACCGTTAAGTTCCTTTCTATTCTTTATACTATAAAGGAGCCCAAATATAGAAGCCTAAATGGGTAGTTTTTAAAAACTAGGGTCCCTTTTAATCTCCTTTTATAAGTACAATACTGGGGACCTAAAAAGGGACCCTAATTTGGAGAACTACCCAAATAGTTACCAATATTACCGTTAGGGTTCCTTATAATATATATGCTATAACGGAGCCCAAAACCCTGTTTCAATTATTAAGGCCCCTACATTACAGAAAAGCTTCTGTTGTTTTTTGTTGTATAGGGATCTTGAGCAGCTCGACGACGGTCCCCAGCAGGAGCATA